TGGATGGATGGATAGCTTGCTAGCTAGATGAGTAGACAATAGGTCAAACAAATAGACGGATAGATAGATTGCTGGAAAAATAGATGTATAGATAAATACATGCATTTATAGATCGATATTTAAATAGCAGGGCATATGGATAGATATATAGATCGATAAATACGTCGATACATAGAGACATACATAGACAAATGGATACATTGACAGAAACATGAAGATACACATAACCAGTGGGAGAGAGACATTGATTGGCTGCTAGCTAGACAGACTGCTAGATAGACAGGTGGTAGATAGATTGATTGATTGAAAGGTACAGTAAGTAGATAGACAATAGCAAAGGAGAAAGAGAAAGATAAACATAAAGACACTTATTGCTTTAGACATTATTTTTGACCCGCAACTGGAAGCAGTATTCGTGACCAAAAAATAAGGTCCAGAAAAAATACCTTATTTCTGTGCAAGTGAAAGTGTGCGAGTAGGGCGCGCGAGTGTTCGAGTCACTCGTCCACTCGTCCGCTCACTCGCCCGTTCTACTCGCACACTCGAGCAGACCACTCGCACACTCGCACACTCGCACGCAACTCTCGCACACTCGCACGCAGGGTACTCGAAGGGTACTCGACGCAGGAACCATCATAATTGTATTTTGCAACCTCTTGGATCCAGCTAAATAAAGAGAAGCATAGAGAAAGAAAAGAACAGTGAAGACAAAGGGAAAAAAGATAAATGGAAAGAGAAGAGCAGGCAAATGAGAAACATAAAGAAGAGAGAAAAAGAAAGGGAAAGGGAAAGGCAAAGGGAAAGAAAGAGAGAGAGAGATAGAGAGAAGAAAAAAGAGAGAAAGAGCAAGCGAAAGAGAGAGAAATAGGAAAACAAATGCCATAGTTCTTCTACTTTTGAAGCTTCCGCCAACCGGCTTCACCGGCCCTACTGGTAAATGCAACATATGTTGCTTAGATTGACTGTCTGGAGACGTTGGGCTCATGAAAATACTGCGATGAAACAGAGGGAATTCCTAACCCATCCTAACCCCATGCGGCGTGATTCATAGCGCTTGCTGTCTGCAGGCGCCAGAACGGTTAGTGACCCAGGAGCATCCACAGCAAAGCTCAATGCACACGCACTCCTTGGCTGCTTTGACTTTCTTTCCTGCAGGCGGAGATTTACCACTGCTGTCAGCAGCCGCTTCTGCGTTTGCCTTAGCTTCAAAGCCAACAGATCCTAACAGTGCGTCCGTCACCCAACCTCCGTGGGACAACCAACACCTGTCCATCCTGTCCTACCTGTCAAGGCAAGTGGGAATAAGCAAACAAATCGGAGCCACACTTTCACACAAACCAATCTGCCAGAGGTGCAGAGGCAGTCGCAGGCTGTTCTTCAGCCTCCGGATGGCCTCATGACTCAATGACAGGGGAGCCCGTGAGGGGGAGCCAGCCGCCACTTCAGCCTTTCAACCAGACCATCCACTCCAAACGAACCCATAGCGACATAGAAGATGGAAACGATGCGGACAAGGTGTTTGGCAAACGTTCTCAATGCTGATGCGGCAGAAGAAGGCAGTTTCCGTGCCTTGCATTCAGCCACGCGCTGGCCTATTAAATCCCGCTGGCTTGGTCCGCTCGCAAAGTGGAACATCAAATGCCAACGCAAAGAAAGCATCCATTGTCAGCACAAATAGCTTGCGACGGACATGCAAGTCCAGCAAACTGATGCTCCGTGTATGGAGCGAGTCAAGCGTTGTGGCAACAGCAACATTTGAACATATGATCGGACCTGCATTCTTTCTTTCAAGAGAATGTGATACAACACAATGTGCGATGACTCTTTGACTGAGATGACAGCCACCTTTCGAAACATCGCTGTATCGGATTGTCGGATGTTCACGGGCCACCCACTTCAAACCGTCGCGCCTCCGTCTGCGCCACTGGTTCCCAGTGAGCGGGGCTCCTGGCGCAGAACGCCTGGAAAGTTGAGTGTGAAAGCGCTTTGACTTGAGCTTTGTGCGAACCCAAGCTACCTGAGCCCTCCAAGCAGCGCTGGGCTGATTACACTACCTGAGCCCTACAAGCAATGGAGCCAATTAATCAAGATAAAATGGTGGCTCTGCCGTTGGTTCCTTAAATGTTGCAGGTAAACTAACCACCCATCCACACACACACGCGCGCGGGCACAATTAGATGATGCCCGGTCAGTGACTCAATAGCTTTGGCAGGGTCTCAGTTTTGCAAGTAAAAGTGGAGCCGGTGAAGATTGTGGGCGCAAGTTCCAAAAATACAACCACTATAGTTACCCTTTCGTCATTCTCTATTTCTCTTCTTGCTGTTTGTCATCATTCATTGTTTCCGCTCTTGGTTTTTGCCCTTTATGTCTTTCAGTCTTTCAGTCTTTCTTTCTTCCTTTTCTTCGTCGCGTGGGCGCATCTACTCATTATTTCCGCCCCTGGCTTTACGTCTATCGTTTTTTCAGCCCGCTGAATCAAGCCAAATGCCTATCCAATCTATGTAATCCTCTCTCTCTGTCTCTCTCTACTCCATAATCTACAATCCATCTGTCTCTCTCGCCTAGTCTATCTATCCATCGACCCTGCGAAGGTGCTGCGCCTGCCACGAAATGCTATTTGACCGTGCCTGCCACGGTATCTGCGCCTGACCTTGCGAAAGCGCTGCTGCTGCCGGAAACTAATGTTGCGACAAATGCGCGCGAGTCCGTGCCAATGGGCCCGGCTCCGAGACTGCTCCAAACGCTCAGAGAGAGCACCACTCTGAACGCTCTCCGGCCCAGCGTCGAAATTCCACGCTTGCCGTCGAGGGGGGCTTTGTCCCTGAGGAAGTGAAACTGAAGCTGGGGTTGCCAGCTTCAGCTGCGATCCGGATACAAATTTGGAGCAATTCTGCCGCCCGTCAAACACTTGGCCTTGGATATGGAATCGACAAAATTCAACTAAAGTGAGTGAGGCTATCAACACCAGCGCTTGCCTGTTGCTTTGCGGGGCTTGCATAACGCGGCGTGCCTTCTGTCTCAAGATGGCAGACTGCGACGCATGTTGGGCTGGGCCGTTGCTCCCTTGGAAGCCACCCCCCAAAGGTCAAACAGCCGCTTTGCGCGGGCCTCCGCGCGTGCCTCATCCTGCCCGCTTCTCTCCACGCCTGTCCAGACCCCCTCACCCAGACTTGATCAAGGATGTGTTGTTTTGAATGACGGACGTTTGGCACTTTCGGAAGGTCTAAGGTTGGTGGACCCATCTTGAAGCAAACAGTCACAAGCCATGGGCAAAAGTAGAGGCACGAGAGGCCCGCGTAGAATTCATTTTGCCCTCTACTTACCAACATGAAGGGACCGGGCCATATTCTGCTTTTGGGGTAGCAGCAGCAGCACCACAACACCCAGCCTTTGCTTGAGAGTGGCTCGGGTGCTCGGGCCGGGTCTTCGGCGCTTGGCAAAGACACCAACTCCTCAGCACGCAAGTCAATTCCCCGCGCAGGCTTCCCAAACAAAGGGACGGCATTGGCAAGTTTGCAATTCGGAGTCACACCAAGAGGTAGGTTCAAAGCAAATGTACTTTTAACCTGAAAACGGTCAATGCATGTGGCACGTGCTCACACCATGACGGCAACCCTTCGCAAATCAGAAGGGAGTCGCCATGGGGGGTTGCGTTTTGAAACAACGCACTGACGCGATCTCTGGCATGAAAGCCCCTGTGCTGCTGTGCACAGGCACAGCTGTCAAAACTGGTCCGACGCTGCGGTGGCTGTTGAAAACTGCCATTGTTGCCCCTTCCGCAAAACCCAATGGGACACCTCCTGGGCTCGATGCAGCTATACTGGCCGCAGCATTCCTTGCTTGCCTATAATTGGTTGGTCCCCTTGTTGCAACTCTAAAGGGGCGCCTTCTTTTCAGGCACTCCGCATGCCCACGCCCGGCCATTTCAGCCCAGCATCCGAGGTCGGCTTGCGTGGCTCCCCCCTGGAACTCATCCCGCCGGCCCCTGCGCTCGGCACCGGAGCAAAAGATTCAAAATGCCAAACAAAACACACCAGTGTCAGTCAACGTTGCCCAGCTTAGATCAACTTCCCCGGCCCTGTGCATTGCCTGAGGCAGGCGGCAGCCGCTTCACCGCCACCTCAACTTTAACTTGACAAAATGCTTTGGGGCCAGCAAAGGCAGGATCTTCCGATGACTGACAGGCCCTGCTGGCCCCACTGCCTTGCCAAATCCTTGCAAAAGCATGCCACTGAGAGCCCGGCAACCTGTTTCATCTCAAGTCTCCTCAGATCATCAGCTCCACATGCACATGTTCATCAACCCCGCTTCCATACATATAGTCATGCCACAAGGGCCACCCCTCTTCCCACAAGTCGAAATGGGTGGGGCCCTCCTGTTGACAGGGGCACAGGTCCAAGTTTCCCCACGTCAGCCGTCGGCCAATCAAATTGACCAAGGCCGAAGAAGCAGCCATTCACATGGCGGCGAGGGAACAGGGCGCGGGCCAAATGCACTGAAGCAAAGCAGCCGCGCGCATGCGATTCGCAATGCCCAAAATCCAACTGCCCAACACCAAAACCAGGCTACTTCTGAGCGTAAACGTGCGCAAGCATGCGGAGTCTGCTTCACTACGAACCTGCCCCAACCCGCCAACAGCCGGCCGTTTGCCGATGCATTCATGGGAGCAAGGGGACACCTGTTGCCGATGGACTAATTGCTAAAGACTAACACAAGTGCCCAAGCAGCCCAAGCAGCCCCTTGTTGATCATTTAGATAAGGAACGTGACACTGTTGCCCAGCGGCCACAAGTGAGATTAGGAAGCCTTTCCCTTGGGTGGAAAACGGAAAAAAGGGCTGTTCCCAAACGAGCGCCGTCCAAGACTCAAACCTCACCCCTCCCAAGACCCAAACATCCCAAAACCTCAAAGACACCACCCCAAGGCCCAACCAAAATGCCGACGCGCGGCCCAAACCCATCCCATCCCCCCCAAAGGCCCATCCCAACCGGCCGGCCGGAC